ACGCCCGCCCCCCGCTTTTCACATTAAATCACCAGGACTAGGGTGGGCGAGACAATGCGGTCTTGCCCATTTACAAGCTAAGGCCTGAAGTTTGCATTCCTGAGATTTCACTCCTGAAAGCGCGTCAAAGCCTCTACTCGTAGTTATTTGTAATAACATGGTCTTGGCTATCTCAGGCCTTTGGGACGTGGTGGAATACATACCCAGGTAAATTAATAAATAGCATATCCCGCTTTCCCCAAACTTCCTGGGTGGTTAAGAGACTCATCCTTCTCGACAGGGCTAGACTTGTACCGACGACCTCTTAAACCAGACTCGTTTCCTCCCAGCGCAAAGCAATCAGGGTTGTTAAAATCAGCCAACTTTGGGGACTGCGGCGGGGTCCATCTCGGTTAGCTATTTGTAGGACAAGGTTTCTGGTTAGAAACGAGTCCAGAGCTCTCTGCTCCATCCTCCCAAATTCGTTCCTGGGGTTAGACTGCCTTCTTCACTTTTGGAAGAGGAGGGGCCGCCCCGGGATGACGCCGGAGCAAACGATCTGCCACTATTTTAAATTGAGGCACCCCCCCCCGCTCGCCAGAAACACTTCGGGGTCCCCTGATGACTCAGTCGTCTGTCGGGAAGCAACTTCCCTCGGTGTGGCAAACTTTACCTCCCTCTGCGCCCCCCCTTCCCAGTTCACCGCCCCCCTTCGGGGTTGCTTTTGCAATTGACACTCTGGGCTAACAGACGGGTCTAATATCAACCGCGCTGCAGAGGTTAAGAGCCCTGGGGCGAAGGGCGGCGGGGCGGGAGGGGGGCGAAGAGAGAGGGGGAGGAGGGAGGGGGAGGGAAGAGAGATCGGATTAAATACGGCGCTTTGTAAGTATTTAAAATTACATTTAATCTCCGCGTCCCACGTTTGTTTATTTGCTCGGTTTTGTAACAAAACAAAACATAGAGTTTCAACATAAAAGAAGCTCATTAAACCATCACGAACTGTGAATTATTCTAATAAAAATATATATTAAAAAAACCCCGAAGGAAACACCTCCCTTCTTTCAAAACCAAATAAATATGCCACCAAATTAATACTGAAAACCTCACTTTTTCTCTCTCTCTCCCTCTCTCTTTAACCCATATTAAAATAATGCATAAAGCGCCTGTCTCCGCGGGGGGCGGCCTGCGCGCCCCTGCCAGCCTCTCCGGCTGGATCTTATGAAAAGGTTCCATCTTTTTAACTTCCTCGCCAGGGCGGGCGGGCCTCGGTTTGCAGCCGGGCGCCTCGGTTGGCGCAGTAATAACGGCTAATAAATATTTAACTACGCATTTGTTGTTGCTTTTTGCAGGGGGGGGGTTAGGCGAGGGGGGAGGCTTGCAGGGGCTCAGGAGTCGGCTGGGGGTACCAAAAGCTCAAGGACGCCTCTCCCATCGCCAGGGCAAAGTCTAATTAAAGACAAATGCCGGGAGTGGGGGTGGGGGGTGGGGGGTGGGGCAGGAATGTAGTGGAGGGGGGCGTCCTCAGCTCTGACCATCCAGGGCTGCAACATTTATTGGTCACAATGCAGAATTCAGTGTGTGCGCTTTAAATAATTAAAAGGCGAGGAATAATTACCGACTCGCATTGTAATTATGGCGAGCCACCCGCGCTTGGAAACGGGAGCCGCATCGAGGGTGAGTCGAGGTTAGGGTTACCGAGAGGGCCTCTGCCAGGATTTTCCAGCTCACCTTTTGTCTAGCGGAGGCAGCCAGGAGGGACGCTGGACTTGAGAAAGGGTGTGTTTGTGTGTTTGTATGTGGCTGTGCTCCTTAAATCCGGAGCACCAATTAAAAAGCCCTTTTTCTTTTTTCTTTGCTCAAAACTCCTTCTCCGCGCTCTCCATATCTTCCACCTTTTCGCTGCGAAAAAGAAGTCTCAAAACTCCAAGCCAAAACTCTCTCGAATTACCGCCCCCCGCTCTTTCCCTCTCTCCCCACTCACAAATGTAATGCATTCTGGTCTCCCCCCCCCAAACCCCCCAACAACACCACACCAGACTTTTCTCGCAAGTCTACCCCCGGCGCCCCCCCCTCTCCTCCGCCACCGCATATTCCTCGCCAGAGATTTATGCCCCCAAATCTGCTTTTCAAGGACAAACTCCGCTTCCTGATACATCAACTCTCAAGTAGGCGCGGGCATTTTCATAACAATGCGCGCTGGAAGATGGAGCCCATATGCCGGGGCGAAGGGCGAAAGCTGTTTTCCTGGCGGAGGGGAGCGCCCGCTCCCCTCAAAGTGCCTGAGGCCGCCAGCCTGGGCCGTTATTAACTTCTGTTTGATTAGTGTAATTGCTCAAATTTGGGGCCGGACAGTATGATTAATTACAGTTTAATTAACGCGTCCATTAAGAGCACTTAATGCCACGATGCTTTTAGAAACAGCCTGAGGAATGGGCGCTCCAGGAAAGAGGAGCGAGGGGTTTGGAAGCGGCGGCGGCTTAATTTTCATTTTTAACATTTATTTGGTTGGGGGGGGGGGAATACACCGGGTCAGGTTTCCATAAGAAGGAAGCGGGAAGAGATGGAAGACAAAAAAAGAAGGAGGGAGCCCCCGACAGAAATACGTTTGGGAAGAAATTAAATCCAAGACTAATAATAAAATAAAAAATATTTTCTAATTTCGAAATCTTTCCCTGCATGCTGGATTAAAAAAACAAAACAAAAAAAACCCCCACACGCCTCCTTCCATCCATGCCTTTCGCGATCGCGAGCAGCCAATCTTGGTCTGAAATTGAGTCTATATCCCACGTTTGAACCCCTTTCTACGGTGGGTTCCAGTAGAAATTGACCACTGAGGCATCTTCAGACCGCATCCCTGGGCACCTGAAGTCCCATTTGACTCTTCCAACAATCCAAGTTGATGATTGGGACGGGTAGTTTATAAGGGATGTGCTAAACAAACTACGAGGGGAAATCGTCGTTTTATCTACCGGATTTATTTGTTTTGGGGAGGATTTTTTTTTTAATGAAAGGAACTAGAAATCCCCCTTCCGCTGTTTCCCCCACTCCATTTATGTATAAGAAAATCTGAAATAAATATTTAGCTGCACTTTTATGCAGCAAAATGTTCCTCGGAAATATTTTAATCAATTTAACCTATCCATCACTCATCACCCAGAGAGACAGTCTGTGTCCAAAACAGGTATGTAAATAATTGTACCTGTGTCACGCTAACATGAACTATTTAGGGATCATTTTATAAGGGTAAATTATTTGAGCCGGTCCCGGGCACTCCAAGACGCCTCAACTTTCCCCGTTAAACAGCAGGCTCTCCATTAGGTATGTCGAGACAGGCGTATTTCCACTTCCTTATTTAAATGTCCTCCCTGCAAACAGAGCCAATGAGGCTATAAATATTGATCAAGCCGTACAGTTTAGGCACCAGCCTCCTCCTCCTTCCCCGCAGTTTTGGGCTCATCGCCTCGTGTTGACGGTGGCCACGATACTGTGTCATGAGACGGCGCGGGGTGGGGGACACACGAGACATGTGTCCCATCTTCAGAAGGGAGGACGGGTTTTGCCCGACAATTCCTGCAAAGCTAAGAACTCACCGGGGTTCCAATGCCCCCCCCAAGCCCGCCCTGCTGTCTATTGATCGGCTTATGAATAGTTAATTGGGCATCTTTTTCGTTGTATCTCTCCCCCCTCCGCCCCGCCCCCGCCAGAAGATTGCCTGTTAAATCAACGCCTTTGCCTGAGGGGGAGATACGATCTGTCCTCTCTCTCTGGTTGTAGATTTTTCGTGCCCAGACCCTCAGCAACCCTTTGCTTCAGTTCGCATCATTCCCGCCGTCCGGGAGAGGAACTGTTATTTTGGGAGCGGGGAGGGGTTGCTCAGATTCCATCCACCCGCTTCCCATTTCTGGTTTTCAGTTGTGGTGAAGGAAATAAAAGTGGGACGCCAGAAGAGGGAAAAGAAAAGCGGGAGAGAGGCAGAGAGAGGGGGAGAAATTCGCCTGCGGGACTCTTTCTGTCTTTCTGCACAGTTTGATTGGGGTTGCGGGGCAGAGACCTGAGCCGCCGAGACAGGTGGTAAAAGCTCCAGTGTTTTAGCAGCCTCTCAGCCCAGAAATACCTTCCTTTGCACTCTGTGCCCCGAACATGCTGGAGCCTCCCCATCCACCCCCGAAATTCTATATTAACAGCTCCTGGTGGGGTCGTCCCGCGTTCCGCGAAACTAAGTGGTTCAGCGACGCTGTCGAAGTCCAGGTGGTCGGTGAGGAGGTGGAATGAAGATCGCTTTCCACTCCTTAGCGAAACATCGCCCGCTGCCCCTTTAATATCACCACACCTCAGGCCCCCAGCCCCTGCCCCCACTCCTCTTTAAGGAAACCAGCCGCCCTGGGGGTTGGGGGGGTACACAGAGCAGGGAAACCGAGGAGCCCCAGTTGGCGCTGAGCAGGCAACAGTCGCGAGGAGGGGAGCTGAAACGGTTCTTCCTGGCGTGTGGCCTTGAGGGGGGGTGACCTCTCCAAGCCTCCCTTTCGCTCCCCAGCCCTCCTCGGAAGATACCTGACCGGGGAAAGGTGTGCAAAAAAAAAGGGGGGGAGGAACAAGTCCGCGCGCTTACCTTCTCGGCGCCCGCGGCGGCGGCTGCTTCGCACCGAATTTCCTCCTCCTCCCCCCGCAACGCCCCCTTCCCCACCGCCACCCCCCCCCAAAGCCGGCAATCTGTTTTTCCTTAAAGAAGCCCCGTCTGCGTTTTGATTGACTGGCGCCGCGGGATGATTGACACGCGCCAGAGTCCCGACGGCACTTCGGGTAAATATGTTGGTGCTGCTAAGTGGGAGTTGCCTTCCTATTATTTTAGCTGTCACTGGATCAATGTACAACGTCTTCAACTAAGGATCAGGATCCTCCTTTCTCCTCTCTCTCTCTCTCTCTCTCTCTCTCTCTCTCTCTCCCTCCCCTCCTTCCCTCGCTCCCTCCCTCCCTCCTTCCTTTCCTTTCCTTCCTTCCTTCCTCTTTTTTTTCTCTTCCTTCTTCCCTCTCTCTCTCTCTTCCCGTGAAGCTTAGCCATGTGGTCAGCCTCCTGCTCGCATCTCCAAACCGACGGGCGGAGGCGGAGGGCAGGCGCCCGCCTGGAGCACCAACCCCAATGAAACTCCGCGCCGCGGCCGGAGGCTCCTAGCCCGTCCAGGATTTGGGGCAGAGGAAACCGCCTGTTTGCCGACGGTAAGTCCCTCTCCCCTCTCCGCGCCTGCCTTAACCGAAGCTTGGTTGTTGTGGGGTGGTTTTTTTTTGGGGGGGGGAATGGTACCAGAGACCGCTTGGCTTGGCACTCGCAACGGTTGCTTTTGCAAAGGCAGCCTGGCCTCGGCTATTCTCCACCTGCCCCTGCAAAAATAAATAAATAACAATCTCGCCTCCCCAGATTCTTCTAATTTTGCAGGTTTGTTTGGGGAGCCTCGCCTGCCTGCCTGCCTTGCGTCGGTTTGTTGGTTCCTCTGATTTCCTGCTTGTTAGATTTTTGTATTCTCTGTGCATATTCGTTTTTAATCTAATAATCAATATTTCCTTCCTGAATTCGGGTTTGGTTTTCTTTTCGCGGCCGCTGCCGGAGATCAGCCACTTTTTCCAAAAACCTCCACTTTAAAAAAGGGCAAATACAATTAAAAACAAAAAAATCAGGCCCAGCGAGAGGTCTTGCTTTGCGTATTGATGTGCTTTGAAAATGTAATTAATTTTCACGTGAAGGCGCGTTTGTTTATTTCGCGTTTCCCCTTTTCTTGTTGTGTTTTAAACAATCTGTCTTCTGGTGGTTGGAGTCTGTTTGTTTGCATGTTCATTTTTATTTTTTGGCGGGGGAAGACGGAGATGTGAGATATGGAGGGGGGGGAGGAAGTTTGTATTCACATTTGAGCGAGGCACCAACGTCTGGACTATTCTGTGTAATTACCACGAAAGCCTCTTACTTAATCCGGGGCGATCCTGTTTGGGTAAGCTCCTTCGCTTGGCTCAGGGTCCCCTTCTGCTGCTCCGCTTCCCCCCACTTCCTTCTTTTTTATTTTCTTTTAACGTGCCGGTGGAGTCTTTAAGTGGCACGGTTAAGTAATCTTCCTTGCTCCTAATCTCCTGTAAAGACATTAGAAAACGGGGGGGGGGAGGGGGAGGGAGACTTTCCAACGATGCGCAACTACTTTCAAGTCTGTTCCATCAACCCTATTTAGAAATTAGAGACCCATACAGGGAGGGGGGGGCAATAAAAGCAACTTGGACTGGTTTCCCCCACCCGACCTCCCCCCTTTTCTGGTTGTTTGGAAGCTCCTGGATCTTTTCCTAATTTTTCATCCCCCGCTTCTGTTTGGCAGCAGGGAAACCCAGAGTTGGTCGTGGGTTTGTTTGCTCTTTTTCTTTTTTGTTAAATACATCTGGCACCATGTTGGGGCCGGATTACTGCTCAGGCTAAGAAAGGCAGCGAGTGTATTTAAACCAGCCTTGATCCTGACCGTCTAAAGCAGGAGCGAGCCGGGCGCTTTGGCTCCGGATTCGCTGGGTAGCTCCTCTAACGTGTAAATACAATTGCCCGCTGCTCTAATTAAAGCCGCCTCCTTTTCTCCCGCCCCCGGTGGAAACAATTGCCGTTTTCCTAATAGTGTTGTTGCTGTTGTGGTTGACTATATACCATAACATATGCGCAAGGATTTACAAACAAACACAAACATATCCCCCCTCCCCAAAAAAGAACTAAGTCCTTTTAAAAAGAGAGACAGTGAGTGAATGTGAAGGAAAAACGGAGAAACGCAGAGAAAATACTTTGTTCTGGGAAGGGTGTCACACGCTCTCCATTTTTGGGATGTGTTTGTTTGTTTCACTGTAAACCACCCCTGAAACCCCAGCCAGGGCAGTGTTTAGCCTCAGGCTCCACCATGGTTGTGTGTGTGTGTCTCTGTCTTTCTAAAAACAAGCAACCGTTTGTTTCTTTCCCAATATTTGTGGGGTTTCGAAATGTCTCGTTTGAGGGGTAGCGGCGGTGGAGTTTGATGGGGTTCCAAGGCTCCAACAATTTCCGATAGAGGGTCAAGAAGGAACCCCCATTTCCCTCGCCTAAAAGGAAGGAGGGAGGAAGGGAGGGGCGGGTGCAGAGACAAGTGTCCGTCCCCCCCGCCACCCACCCAAAGGAGTTTTTCGCCCGGCTGGATCGACTGGGCCCGGCTGTCGGTGAACTTGTGTCTGTCCTCATTTCTTTCCGGCGACGGCTCTTGCCTCGACGGCGAGCCTCTGGGCTTCTGGGGGTCGAGTCTCCCCCGCCCAGCCCCCTCCCCAAGCCGCGGCTTCCCCCTCCTCGCCGCCACCCCACCACTTCGTAAGAAAATGTTGGCAGCCTCCTCCCGTCCTGAGTGCTTCTTCTTCTTCTCCTTCTTCCTTCGCAGGAGATCGGCCGTCTGGGGGGGAGATGGAGTCGCTGGCCGCCGCCAGTCAGCTGGGAACTGGGAGAGACTCTGGCTCCTCCTCCTCCTCCTCGCCCCACTCCAAGCAGGAGCTGCAGCCTTACTCGGGCGCCAGCCCCCTGAAGCCCAACCAAGTCGGGGAGACCTCCTTGTATGGCGTGCCCATCGTGTCGCTCGTCATCGACGGGCAGGAGCGCCTGTGCCTGGCGCAGATCTCCAACACGCTGCTCAAGAACTACAGCTACAATGAGATCCACAACCGACGGGTCGCGCTGGGGATCACCTGCGTGCAGTGCACCCCGGTGCAGCTGGAGATTCTCCGTCGGGCCGGCGCCATGCCCATCTCCTCGCGGCGCTGCGGCATGATCACCAAGCGGGAAGCCGAGCGCCTTTGCAAGTCCTTCCTGGGCGAGCACAAGCCGCCCAAGCTGCCGGAGAACTTCGCCTTCGACGTGGTGCACGAGTGCGCCTGGGGCTCGCGCGGCAGCTTCATCCCGGCCCGCTACAACAGCTCGCGGGCCAAGTGCATCAAGTGCAGCTACTGCAGCATGTACTTCTCGCCCAACAAGTTCATCTTCCACTCCCACCGCACCCCCGAGGCCAAGTACACGCAGCCCGACGCCGCCAACTTCAACTCGTGGCGCCGCCACCTCAAGCTCAGCGACAAGACGGCCACCGACGACCTCAGCCACGCCTGGGAGGACGTCAAGGCCATGTTCAACGGCGGCACTCGCAAGCGGACCTTCTCCTTACACGGGGCGGGCGGCGGCGGTGGCGGCGGGAGCGCCTCCCATGCGGCTAAGAGCTCCCTTCACCCGCCGCCGCCCTCCTCCACAGACCTGCCCCCGGTGCACAAGAGCCTGCGCTGCAGCGGCGCCGAGGAGCAGCCCGGGGAGCGCGGCGGGCTGGGCTTGCCCGCGGGGGCGCACGGGCCGGCCGCCGCCGTGCGAAGCTACCCGGTCATCCCGGTGCCCAGCAAGGGCTTCGGGATGCTGCAGAAGCTGCCGCCGCCTCTCTTCCCGCCCCCCTACGGCTTCCCCGCCGCCGCCTTCGGGCTGTGCCCCAAAAAGCAGGACGATTCCCTGGGAGGCGCCGGAGGAGGGGACCAGGTCAAAGCCGGTGCTTTGCCGCAGGGCATGTTTTGGGGGCCGCCGCACCCCCACCCGCCCCAGCCTCAGCAGCAGCCGGGGGGCTCGGCTAAGGACAGCGGAGTCTACCCGTCCTTCCCCATGTTCTGGCCGGCCTCCGGGAGCCTCCCGGTGCCGCCCTACCCGGCCCAGAGCCAGGCCAAGGCGGCCGCCACGGCGGTTGTTGTGGCCGCGGCCGCAGCCGCCGCAGCCGCCGCAGTAGAGCCTCTAGGCCTGCGGAGCCACGGCCACGTGGAGCTGGAAGGGTCGGAGCCGTCGGGCAGCGAGCGCAGCAGCGCCACCCCACAGGAAGGCTCGGGCTCCGGGGCCGCCGACGGCGAGCGCTGCTCCAGCGCCCTCTCCAGAGCTGCGGCCGTCGGGGAGGAGGAGCGCTCCGGGGACGAAGCCTTGCTGCCTCCGCTGCCCCTGCCCAGGAAAGGCAGCTACCTGTCGGCCTTCCGCCCCGTCGTGAAAGACGCGGAGAGCATAGCCAAGCTCTACGGGACCCGCGAGGCCTACGGAGGCCCCACCGGCTGCCCGGGCTACCTCTCACCGGACTTCCTCAGCGAAGGTAGCTCCAGCTATCGCTCCCTCTCTCCTGGCAACGACACAGTGGACGAGCCCGAGGTGGACGTCGAATCCAACCGCTTTCCCGAGGACGAGGACGAGGAAGAGGTGCCCGTCGAGGAAGCCGAGGAAGCCTCTCCGCCCCAGCAGCTTCTCTTGACCGAGACCGAGGAGCCTCTTGCAGCCGTTGGCAGCGTCGGCGTCTTGGCGGCCTCGGAGAAGCCTGCGGAGAAGGCCCTGGAGCCCGAAGGGAGCCCCCCGGCCAGGAGCAACAGCAGGGGCGGCTATGAGGTGCGAGGAGGGGTGATATGGGCAAGCGGGGTGGGAACCAAGGGCGGCGATGCCAGTTCCTGCCCTCCCGTCCTCGCCCCGAATTCCACCACGACGGAGAGAGCGTGAGTCGCTCAGAACTAGGTCTGGGCGGCTCTCCAGCGCCGGAGTGGGAGGTCGCGCGCGCGGCAGGGGGTTTTATTGAGAGACTTTCTCCCAGCCGTGGCCGCCAGATGCAGGTGGGTGGATGGTTTAGGACAGGACCTCGGGCATGTGGGACCTTCTACTTCGTTATACTTGCTGATTTTCCATAACCTTTGCGCAAAATAGTGGCTAAGAAGTAGGGAGGCTGGGAGCCCAGGCTCAGCCCAGCATGTTCCTAATCAGACGGGAGCTTGCAGTGCTGCCCGATAAGGACCCCCTGCCCTCCTCCACCCCGTTACTTGATATAAGCAGGCAGGTGGGAAGATGGACCGTTTGTAGTTTGTTAAACACTTGGGAGTCTGAGTCATCCCTGGTCTAGAAGACCAAGAGTAAGAGGAAAGAGTGACCCTGAGCTCTGAGGTTTTGCTCGCGAGTGCAGCTCTGGATTTCCCAATAGACACACCAAGCACATGCTTGGGGCACCAGCAAAACAGGGACACGCGCTCACAAACCGATATTTTATTTTATTTTTAAGAATTTGACATTTGATTTTTTAAAAAATGCACCGAATTGGTTGTCTGTGGTCGGGGAAAATCATAACTTTGTTAGACTTCCTTTCATCCCACTACGCGCACTTCGCCCGCTTTTAGTATTGTTTTTATTCTGAGTTACATACTAGGCTGGAGGGGTGCATCATAATCTTCTAAATGCTGAGGGCCTCTTAATCTGACCCTGCAGGAGCGCAAGGTTTTACTGAACTCGGATAAAAGAGACTGGGATGCGGGGAGACTCTTCCAAGGGAGAGAGGAAGGAGGTCAGAAACCAATGGTTGGATCCAGCACCAGTCCTCGTCAGAGCAGACCCATGAAAATTAATGAACACGACAAACATAGGTCCATTCATTTCAATGGGTCTACTCTGAGTAAAACTTAATTGCGTGCGACCGAATGGCTTTCAGTTGCAGATTGAAAAGAAGTCTGAGAGGTTTAAAAGTTGTTTTTTTATCTGCTCAAGTAGGTTGTGGAATTACTATTTTTTTTAAAAAAAGACAGACCAGGTAAGCAAAGGATGCTGGACCAAGTAACCCCATTTTAGTTGCAAATTACTTCCCACATTTTCAGGAGAAAGGCCGGTCCGTAGCTCAGGGGTAGTTTACAAGACCTGTGTTGCATGCAGAAGGTCGCAGGTCGAATCCCGGGACCTCCAGGTAAAGCTAGGAGAGATCCCTGTTTTTCAACCCTGGGGAGCCGCTGCCAGTCAGTGTAAGTAATACTGAGCTAGATGAGCCAATGACCTGACTTGGTATGAAAGAAGCTTTCCATGTCCCTGGGCAAACTCAGCACAAGTTAGTGAGACCCTCCTAACTCTGCACTCTTAATAACGCATTGATGGGATATCCGTGGGCTTAGAGGCTTGAGCCAGGCCAGCCCTGAACCACGTGATACGATTCTCCATGACTGTACCTGCCTGGGGTGGGAGAAGGCGGTGGGTCGATCGCAGCCGAAGTGTCAAAACCTTTCCAGTTCCGTTAATTTAGGGCTCGGATTTGAAAGTCTGCATCCCACCCGTTGCCAAAAGACCTCAAATGCTGCGAAAGCACCGCGCTGCCCTTGCGCTGTCTTCAGCACCGTGGACAGATCCCAGCTCGCAGCGCCGCGAAGGTTGGGAGCTGGGTTAAAGCTGCTTCCGGACGTCGGAAGACCGGCTGGTGGGCCCCATCTCTCCCGGAATCGAGGGGCAGATGCCATAGCAGGCATCTAATTAATAAGAAGCCCAGAGGGCTTGCCTCGCTCGCCCCAATTTCTCTATGGCAGAGGCGGTGGCTTTGAACCAGGTTGCTCCGGCAACAGCCAAAGGGGCGCACCAAGGCAGCGTTTGGAAAGACGCTTCGAATCAAAGGGATTTGGGAAGGAAGCGCTCTCCCCCACAGAGAGTTTTAAAATCATTGTTTATTTATTTACCGAGTTTCTGGCGCACCTTTTCCTCCAAGGGGCTCCAGGTGTGGCACATGGTTCTCTCCCCCCACCCCCATTTAATGCCAACAACAACCCTGTGAGGTAGACTAGGCTGAGTGAAGGCAGGGACTGGCCCGCTGTTGTATGAACTGACCCACTTGCAAAGACCCTAAAAGTCGGAGCGCAGTCCTCAGTCAAGAGACGCAGAGTGGATCGGCTATGCGCGTGGAGCGAGGCAACGCAAGTTTCTAGTCCTCATCCCACGCAAAACAGTTGACAAGAGGGAGAGTTATCGACGCTAGGAATAAGCGAGGGGACGCTAATCGAGATAATACAATACGGGTAGGGGTCAAGGGACTGCCACAGCGACGACTCCCCCCCCCCAGCCCGCTTTATGTGGGGTGGGAGGAGAGCGGTGTCTCGCTTAGCTGAAAAGGAGAGTTTTCCTTTCAATATTAGGAAGTAGGTCTCTCTCTCCCTCCCCATTTTAACTACCTCCGATGAGACTGGATCACCAGCGTGAATCCTCCCTAAATCCACCCCCACCCACCCCCACAGCTTCCTGGGTCCCCACACTCTTTAGACACGAAGTGTTTCAGGCACGACCCCTGGGAACTATAAGGACACGGATTACCTAGGAAGAGTCGTCACTCCCTCCACCCCCGGATCTATTGGCTGAAGCTGATAGAATTAAAGTACTGCTAGATTTGAGGAGCTGAGAAAGGGAAGGTGGGGGGGGTGATGCCGGGGGGTGTGCAGGTCAGAGGGGAGAGAAGCTTGCAGGCTTTGAAAAACTCTTGAGTTCCAAGGCTGACTTTGAAGGGGGCTAATTTTCCTCTACCGTCCCCAATAAATATACCTCTAAGAAAATCGCAGCTGAAGTGGCTTTTTCTGTGCTGGACAAGAGACCTTTTACACACACAGCCGCCGAAAACCTCCCACTCCTTTCGCTCTCCCCCAATGGACAATTACGGTAGTTTTCTGAGTTGAGCGGGAGCGGGGTCTTGTTTTCGGAAAAGCTGGGCGGGGGACAACGAAGAGTTTCCAATTTGGCAGCGTTTGGAACGCTTTTTTGGGGGGGTGTCTCACTTATTTGCTTTCAGAGAGATTTTCCCACGGCGGCATAACATTAATTAACAAATAGAATAAAAACAACAACAGTGGAGCATGGGAAAAATAATAATAAATGTAACTGTTGCGCTGTTTCTTTCGCAGGTGTATCCGCAAGACAGAGAGGATCGGTCGCAAGCTCTCAAAGCCAGCACCCCTCTGGGCCCCCAGACAACCCCTTACCTCTGCACTCCGGAGAGGAATGGTAAGTATGAACCACGTGCCTAGAGATACTTTGAAGCATCAGGGGCAGGATTTTTGTTTTATTCCAAAAGTCTTAATAATTGCCTGAATTGATGTCAAAACGTTTCCACTTCCTTAAAAAAGTAATATTTGGCCAGACGTTTGAAATAAACCAGGGGTCATTTTTTTAAAAAAACAAAACTTTCACCTGCCAATATTGTTTATCTAATATTGCTATTGGCTTTATTTATTTATTTGTGGGGTGGGGGGGAGGGAGAAAATAGACTGTGCCCTGCAGGCGTTTAATCAAGCATGCTCTTTCCGGGGGTCGCATTGCAATGTTTTCAACTCTCCAAAGGAGAGAATCTGCAAAGCCCACTTCTTTGAAGCGCAGCCGACGCCGCCCGCCCACCCCCACCCCATAGAAGGAGGGCAGCTGGGAACGCTGCTTGAGGAAGGAGTCGGTGGAGGGGGGGTGGTTAGAAAACTGGTGGGATAAAAGCTTCCCAAGGAGCAAGCTCCTTTCCTCGGCAAGGCGATTAGGCTGTCCCCTAAGAAGGCTTTAACGAGGACTTTGTCCTTAATTATGTAATTAAGGATATATCAGGCTCATACTTTCGTTGCCTGTGCTGCAAAATCGGTTTATTCGCTCTAAGAACCAGATAAAGAAGACAATCATTCGACAGCTGAGGATTTGGAGAGCAAGAAATCCTATCAGAACCAAAGGAGCGTCTCTCAGCCCAGCCCAGCCCACACCGACCGAGGTAAAATGATGCGCTGACTTTGGAAAAAGGAGGGTGGGCGGTCCTGAAACCAGCACTTTCCCAACCTGGTGGCCTCCAGGTTTTGTGGGCTGCATCACCTCCCAACTTCCTATGGCCCTGCTGGCTGGGGCTGATGTGAGTTGCAATCCAAAACAACTGGAGGACACCAGGTTAGCAAAGGTGTTCTTAAAGGCACCTCTTGCCTGGGAGACCTACCCTGCAGAAGTAGCGGAGCATAGGAGGTGGATCAGAGGATTCCAGGCTGTGCCCCCTGCTCTTGGAGGTGCTTAGCCATCCGACCAGGCCAGTTGTCCCCGTTGGCTAATGGCCAGGTTCACCTTCAACCAAAGGAGGCCTCCTGGTGGCCGAAATTCGCTGGGATGTGCCCTCATTGCCATCCCTTGACCGAGATAAGAAGAAATTCCTTCACAACTGGAAGAGAAGGGTTGGTTGATGCTGATAGCGAAAGACTCGGTGCCTAGATTTGCTGCGACTTCTGGAGTTACAGCCCCTAAAACAGCCTTTCTGGGCTTGGTCCTCTTCAGATGTTTTGGACCTCAAGTCCCACCATCCTCAAGCAGTCATGATGGGACTCTTTGACCGAAACATCTGGCTGCACTAAGACGACCACAAACTTAGGATAAAAGGGAGCGTCAAGACAACCGGGTCTGCTATGAGTCCTGTTCTGGCCAGAGGTTTCACTGAGCCTCTGTACACGGATATAGGGCTTTGTAAGTGAAAACTTTGCAGTAGTTCCCACTCATATTCTGTTAACGGACTGGGAGAGAAATAGCTGTGAGCGGAAACATTTTTACTATGTACTCAGTGGCAGTGAAAGGAGTGTTAACTTAGGAGCTGTATTCAACGAAGTCCTACGCACAGCAGAGACACTGAGATGAATGGACCAAAATTAGCCATGCTCATTAATTTCAGTGGGTCAACTCTTGAGTCGAACTGGCATTGGAAACAACCCTTCGTGTCAATAGTGGCTAATATTGACTTCCCAAGTAAATCATGGGGTTCCCCCCGTCTTCTTAACAACTTCAGCTGCTTTGAACTACAATTCCCGCCACCCAGCAGAGCTATATAATGCTGGAACTGATGGGAGTTGTAGTTGAAATCAGTTGAGGGCGGGGGTCGCCAGGTTGGCCAAGGCTGCTTTAGGGCTACTTCAATGGGTATATAACTCCACCCGTCCCAGGGCTTCGGTCTAAAGTTCAATGTGTAACGTAGCACGAATGAAACTTCTCGGAAGTAAACGTGCGTGTGGCGGAGGGGGGGAAGACGTGAGCCAGGATTTATTGGGAGTGGGGCCTTTTTTTAAAAGGGGCAGAACAACAGTTAAATATTTTTATTGATTTACTTGATTTGGGGGCAGGCAACTTCCCCCTGCCCCCCGCTTAGCTACGCCCATGTGAGCACAGTTCATCTTTTTTCAGAACTGATATATTGGACCGTAGTTAAATAATATAAGGCAGCCCTCCCAGTTTAAAAGAGGAGAAGACACGCCAGGTGTATTGGAGATCTCAATGAGAGGTTTGCTCCCCCCCTCCAATACATGGTAAATAAATATTTAAAGTTGAAGTTAGGAAGAGAGAGAGAGAACGAAGGAATGGTGACGGTATAGCGAGATGTTACAAATCAAGGCCTCCTTAAACGGGGGAAGGGGGGCTGGGACTCCTCGCTGTCTCCCTTCCCGACACCTTCCACGCTTCTCTGTAATTTCGGTGATAAATTTTCCGCGCAAAGGAGCAGCGGGATTTGGCTGGGAAGAAACCGCTTGGTTTCCATTCAAGGGCGGCGGCTGCTCTGGCCCCCACCCCCAGCCAAACCGCCCTCTTGAAATTTTCAGTCGGTAGCTAATTCAGGAGGGCGACACCTGGATCCCCTCGCGGGGCTGTTTCGATGCTTTCTCCTGCCAGAGTCTTTCTCAGCCCCTTTGCAACAACAGCCCGGTTTACTCGAGAGCCAGTCCCGGGACTGTCTGTGGGCTTCCTTGGAAATTCCCCCCCCCCACCTTAAATGAAAGGTGCCAATGAGTAAGTCATTGGATTCGGCGGGGCTTACTCTCCGGCTGAGTACACCTTAGGGTCCCACCCCAAGGATCCGGAAACCGCTTAAATTGCGGTCTGGTTGACGTGGGAACGCTGGTCGTTTGCATTGTCTAACCTTAATGTGCAATTAGTAGCACCCAGCGTTTGGCGCAGTATGCAAATCTTCTGGGTGGCGTTTAGATCTATGAACGGCCATTCACACGTGTCTATGGTTGGGTGGTGTGTGGGGCTGATGCTAAGCGCAAACTGAGTCTACACGGAAGGAGGCGGATGGGATTTCTAAGCCGTATGCCACTTTTGCCTTTTCAAAGCCATCTTTGTTACGTTTGGTCGTGTGACTAGCGGTGTGTGAGAGATGTCGCCATTATGCCCATTTTTTCAGACGAGGACTAAAGTGTCCAGTAAACGTGCTCCCAGTTCTGCCGGGTTTGTGACAGACTTCTAAAATCAGCTGTTACACGCTTTAAGGCTCTATACTATAACATACAGAGTAGGTAAAAAGGAGGTACGACAAGCCTAGCATGACCCAGGGGAGATGTTAGCGACCGGGTGCAAGCGCGGTGTGCCTGGAAGCGATGGCAATGCTAGGAAGGCTGAGTTCACACGTGCGTGAGCATCACTTGACAGCTCCGCTCTTGAATGCCTGAACTGGCTCTGCCTGGTGTCTGAGGCCGTGACAGGTTACGCGAAGCTCTTGCTGTTAGGCCAATTCCGGCCCGTCCACACGTGCATGTCATCGCGTGATATTGGAGGGACGATCCGAGTCTTTTCTTTCAACATGTGCACAAATGTCGAGAAGGACTCAGAGTCTCAGAGTAACTTTGATTATCAAATGTATGATAGTCTCCACCAACTGCATCTCTGCTTTTGTCTCCTCCAAGTTGTCCATTGCTACTGCCCGCCAAGGACAGATGATGGGGGGGGGTTCCCCTACACTTGGCTCCTCTCGTGCCCTTGCCAGGGTGTGGGGGCGTTTGGGGTGCGGGGGCGGAATCAGCTCTCACCCTTTGCCTTTCCTCTTTCCTGGGCACAGGAGACGAGGTGGTCAGCATTGACGTCACTGGGACTCAACTGGGGGAGAAAGATATTGGGAACCTCGCGAGAGGTAAGAGCGCCTTTTTGGTGGTTTTGCTGGACAAGGGAAGGGGGCGGGGAGAGGAGAGGAGCGGGGCCTGCGCAAAGAAGGTCGAGGACAGTGGGAAGCATCTAATAATAACTTTCACAAAGGGCTAATCCACAGCGATTCTCCCTCCCGGACCTCCTCCCCTGTTATCCTCTAGCTCAGTTTCCCCCCCCCACCCTGGTGCCCTCTCGATGTTGTTGGACTACAGCTCCCATCAGCCCCAGCCTGCTGGAGTCCAACCGAAGTGCTTCTTCGCGCAGCGTGCAGTTAAACTGTGGAACTCACTGCCACTGGAGGAAGTGATGGTCACCCACCTAGATGACTTTAAAGAGGACTGGACAAATTCATGGAGGAGAGGGCTAATCGGTGACTGCCAGCCACAATGACTATATTCTTCCTCCACAGTTGGAGGCAGCAATGCTTCTGAATCTGGTTGGCAATTGTGAGATCAGGATGCTGGACTAGATGGGCCTGAGCCAGCAGACTCCTCTTACATTAACCATGCCTTGTTATTTAGGCAAACTCTCTCTCTTTTCCCGTCGTCTGCCTACATCCAGTCTCTCTTGTCTGCACTCCGTAGCCCAAACGTCTCCCTCGCTCTTCAGTCACCAGATGAAGCAAATGCGCTCCCTCCCGCATTTCGCTACCCCCCCCCCGTTTTTCATTCACGTTTCTAGGTCAGGAGACCCTGTTGGCTCGCCTGCCTGTCTTAATGTAGATTTGAGAGGGACGTATTAGCAGCGATTCCTCGAGATCTGTGGCCCATCGAACCTAATTTCTAGATCTATCTATCCATCTCTGGGGCGGCGGCGGGGGGAGCCCGTTCATAATGCGCATTGACAGCCTCGCTATGGGTTTCTGCTGTGGTATGGAATGGAGAGATTTAAAGGGTCTTTTGTCAGTATCCAAGCAGGAGAGTGAGATCGGTGGTTCCTCACCGGGTCAGGGCGCATCTGGAAGGAGGATCTTTACCTCCCCAGCCCAGATTTGGGTTCAAGGAAGCCCGCTGACCTAGGAATCAAGGGGCTTACTTCTGAGTAAACAGGCGTTGGATTGCGCTGGTAGTGAAGATGCATTGGTGTATTTGTTTTGATTTTATTTTCTTTTAAAATAGCAACAACCCGAAATTAATAGAATAGCTTTTTGACGAATTTAAATGCCCTAGCTGTCAATCTCCCCCCCTCTCTCTTTTTCTCTAATAAAATATCTTGTATTAGGGTTGGACTAGATGACCCTTGAGGTTCCTTCCATCTCTACAATTATATGATTCCCCATGGGGAAACGAGAGGATTGGGGTCCACCTACCCCGACTCTCCCTCTGGGCTCAACCCAATATTCTTTTCTTCACAGATGAGTTGCAAAAACTCCTCATGGAGCAAATGGAGCTGAGGAAAAAACTGGAAAGGGAATTCCAAAGTCTGAAAGGTATATCCACCGCCTTCCTTAAGTCTCTGTAAAGGGCCGCTGTTTCTACAACGATTGCAAATAAAACATTTTATAAGGGCGAAATTGCATGAAGTGGATTGCAATTAATGGATTGTTGACCATCCGATTAAAATGTACGCAAAAGGCCAAGGGAGACACGTTGGTCCATAAGGGAAAGCAAAGAAACCTCTAAAATCCACAGTAGGGCGATACCTTTATTAGGAACAACGAACGTTTTAGGAAAGAGTGCGGAAGCTTTGGAGTTCACCAGAATTCTTCATCAGGCAATTCTGCATTGTACCTGATGAAGAGTTCTGGAGAAAACTGAAGCTTGCCACTGTTTTGTAACCTTTCGGTCGGTCCTAATAAAATTTAGTTGTGGGTTTTGAAGACTAAATGCGGGGTTCACTTGCGAAGTTTGCATTGGCTTCCTTGCCCAAACGGGTCTTTGCCTGCCCTTTGCAGTTGAGCGCAACCCTTTCCAAGTCCGGTCCAAATAACACCGAGCTGACCGGCAAGCTCTCAGCATCTTTAGGGGAAATCGGAGTTTAGTTGGAAAGCAGAAATTAAAACCCTTCAGCCAATTGAAGGCGCCAGGAATTGATATCTGATATTCTGCGCTCTTGCCGTGGCTGAAGCAGCCGATCGATTATTAATTTGCTAATTTATAGGTTAACTCTTTCGCGCCTTTGCAGAGTTTCTGCTTGGCTCGAATGGTTTTGAGCCGAACTGCTGTATCTGTAAGGCGGATTCTTTGGAGGTACCTGGATTTCCCACCCCGAAAGGCAGGGGGAATTGGAGGAGAGAGAGAGAGAAAGGAATCTCCTCTTCCATTCATTCCCAGCACACAATCCTCTTTACCTGGGAGTAATTCCCATGAAACGCCCTCAGTGCTAGGAAGTGGGTTCCATGGAAATTAATTTGACTCACTCCCGAGTAACGGAGATATCGATGTTATTGAAGGGTGTGGAGGGCGTCATCCTCGTCGGGTGTTTGATCTGTAGCTGAACTGGAATTAAATCTTGACCTGCCCTCTAAAATAACAGGTCTACTCCTATCCTCATAAATTAGGAGCGTAAAGAATTTCAAACTCGTTATAATTATGAGGTTTAAAATTATTGTAAACCGCTACGATGAAGGGAGGGTAATAATAATAATAATAATAATAATAGCAAAAGGACTGAAAATCGTTTTTCATGCAGGTGGAGCGCGCATTCCTCCATTCATACGTCGCCCGTCAATTATTCTGTTTGAGAGATCTTAAAGATGGAGGAAGTGTCACTGAGCCCATGCATTTCGAAGGGTGTTTGATTCGGGTTGCGGACTCCTATAGCGAGGTCGCTGCAAGGCGGGTGCGACTATTAGATACTCCACCCAGACTTTTCTCCAACTTTCCAAGCCTAGCTGGGCGGGGACGGAGAAGGGTCTCGGGCAGAGGAGGCGAGAGGGCCTGGATTTGGGGCCGGTCTTCAAGGTCGCCTAGACCTCCTTAGCTTTTGTCTTCCCAACCGCTTTCAAAACTGTTCGCTTGTTTACAAGAGCGGCTGCTCCTCCGCCCTCCTTCACACATTGTCTTTTAAGGGAGGTCAGACGCCAAGATTCCTTTAAAGGGCAGCGGGGGAGCGGAGAGCGAGAAAGAACCCGGAATTAGAAGAAAAAGCGCCCCTGAAATGCTTTCTCTGTATTCTTGAATGATTGTGCGAGTAAACCCCATGAGTTAATCCGGATTAATACGGGAGTGTTTGTCGCTGAAAAATAAAAATTGAAATGGGGAGTGGGGATTAAAGGAAAAGACACCTTTGGAATTGTTTTTCTGATTGTGGGAGAAGCGGGGCGGGACGGGGAAAGGAAACTACCAATTAATCCAGATTAATACAAACCGGAGGTGCCTTTGCACTTTTAAACGGAAAAAAGAAGCCAGTTAAAATGAAAACCTATAAACGAAAAAGCATGTCTGAAATTGTTTCTGTGTCTTTTGGATTGTGGCGGGGGTCTGCAGTTAATCCGGATTGATACATTCAGAAGCGCGGGAACACCATTTGTATATATTCGCTTCGCCGGATTTCCTTTTCCCCGGGAGTAACAGATCCCTTTTTAAACCCCACAGATAACTTTCAAGACCAGATGAAGAGGGAACTGGCCTACCGCGAAGAAATGGTGCAGCAGCTGCAAATTGTGCGGGGTACGGGGATGATTTTCCCTCCTCCTCCTCCCTCTCGTACCCCATAATTACCCAAGCCAGAGCTCGCCAGTAAAGCCAAACTAGGAGAAGCCACCCTTCCCTTTCTGTTTGCTAAAGGATGACGACGATAAATCATAGTGGAACTGTGGCTCAGTGGCAGAGCCTCCCTGCCTGGGACCCTGGAGTGTGGTGTAGTGGTTAAGAGCGGTGGACTCGTAATCTGGTGAACTGGGTTCACTTCCCCGCTCCTCCACATGCAGCTGCTGGGTGACCTTGGGCTAGCCACACTTCTCCGAAGTCTCTCAGCCCCACTCACCTCACAGAGTGTTTCTTGTGGGGGAGGAAGGGAAAGGAGATTGTTAGCCGCTTGGAGACTCCTTAGGGTAGTGATAAAGCGGGATATCAAATCCAAGCTCCTCTTCTTCTTCTTCTTCTGCCAGCTCATGTAGACAATACTGAGCTAGAGGGACCAATGGGTCTAAGACAGTAGGATGCTCCTAATAATATGTGACCACCTAAGTGTTTCTGCTTGTTTCCAAGACTTGCTTCAGATCGCTCCCCCTCCACAGGATTGCTGTGGGTCAGAGACGTGCGCATTCCAACCTTTTCTTTAAGCTCCTAAAACTCATAGGGAGCAGCCTTATGCAGAGTCAGCCCATGGGTCCATCATGATGTAGCTCAGGGATGTTTTTAATATAAATATAGGTTTGTTGATTTCCAATGTATAGCAACAATGACAAAAAAAGGCGGGGAGGGAATACAACTAGTTCAGTTTTGCTGACACTGCTTGGTAGTGGCTCTCCAGGTTGATTAGACAGAGGACTTCCTGGTCCTACCTGGAGATGCCATGGGGATTGAATCTGGGATGTTTTGCATGCAAGGAGGATGCTCGACTGCTGAGCTAGACCCTTTTCCAGAGCAACATGGCATTGCTTTTGCTGCAGTAAGTTAGAATGTCCAACCCTCCTTGCAAATTGTTTCCTGCTATAGTAAGCCTTAGCAAAGCCTCCCTCCAGCCACCTTAAAAACTTCAACAGTTGTTGCCTTTCACTTTCTTTTGGGGTCACAGAGTGAAAGGCAGGATTCTTGTCCCCTTTCTGGCTGAGCTGTCAAAAGCGTATTGTAAGGCAGTGTTTTCCAAACTTGGGTCTGTTTTTGGACTACAGTTCCCATCATCCCTAACCATTGGTCCTGCTAGCTAGGGATGATGGGAGTTGTAGTCCAAAAACTACAGTGTAAAGGAAGGCAGATTATTGGGGCCTTGAGAGATGAAAGGCAGTGTGGCCAGACAGGCTGTGTGTGGATCAAATACCCTTTCATCCCCTCTCCCAAATCTCCACCCACCCACTCTCCTCTTTTCTTTCCAGATACCCTGTGCAATGAGCTGGACCAAGAAAGGAAAGCTCGCTACGCCATTCAGCAGAAGCTAAAAGGTTGGTTGGAAATGCAGGGAAACTTCCCCCTCAAACTGCTGGTTTGGTGGGGCAGTATCATCTGTATTTTATGCATCGTCAGAGTTTCGTGTCTCTGCAAAAACGTTTCACCGGAGGGACTCCCCTCATCAGTATCAATGTAGTTATTCAATAGCAACAGCAGTATCTTGAGTATAAAGGTAAAGGTAAAGGGACCCCTGACCATTAGATCCAGTCGCGGACGACTCTGGGGGTTGTGGCGCTCATCTCGCTTTATCGGCCGAGGGAGCCGGCGTACAGCTTCCGGGTCATGTGGCCAGCATGACTAAGCCGCTTCTGGCAAACCAGAGCAGCGCACAAAAACGCCGTTTACCTTCCCGCCAGAGCGGTACCTCTTTATCTACTTGCACTTTGACATGCTTTCGAACTGCTAGGTGGGCAGGAGCAGGGACCGAGCAACAGGAGCTTACCCCGTTGCGGGGATTCAAACCGCCGACCTTCTGATCTGCAAGTCCTAGGCTCTGTGGTTTAACCCACAGCGCCACCTGCGTCTTCAGTATACTGAAATGTATATTAACAGATTGTCAGCATCATCAGATCCATTTAAATTATCTCCCACCTTTGCTCCAAGAAACTGCACAAACAAAAACAACAGCAGCAGCAGCAGCAACAATATTATTTGTACCCCGTCCATCTGACTGGGTTTCCCCAGCCACCCTGGGCAGCTTCCAGCATATGCAGAATACTGTATAGTTCTCCTCCCCATTTTATCCTCACAACAAGCTTGTAAGGTAAGGTAGGCTGAGAGATGGTGACTGGCCCAAGGTTACTCAGTGACCTACATGGCTGTGTGTGAGGATCTGAACTCTGGTCTCCTAGTCCAGGACTCCAACCACTGCACCACACTGGCACAGATTATGCTCAGGGGCTTGTTTGTAGCAGAATAGGTGCAATAGGCATCAATCTTGTGTATGGGACCTTTTCATTAGTCAAAGTGCCTCACAGATTGATGGTCTCTGTCTCCCTTTGAACAGCCCAGAAAGGAACTAATGTTGGATTGGGACCTGGGAGACAGGGGTTCAAATCCCCAATTGGACATGAAGCTCACTGCGTGACCTTGGGTCAGACACTGCCTAACCTACCTCACAGGGTTGTTGTGAGGTTTAAATTGGGGGGGGGACCATGTACACCACCTTGAGTTCATTGGAGGAACGGTGGGATATAAATGCAGCCAGTCAACCAACCAATCAATCAATCAATCAATCAATCAATAAGGGCGGGTCAGCTTGTTTCTAAGGCTCATTTCATTTGGGCAATAAGCAGCTCCATTCTATGCACAATTACTCGCAAGCAAGTGCCACAGATTTCAGTGACATTTGAAGGCCACGGTCTCTTATCCACTTAAAGGTAAAGGTAAAGGTACCCCTGCCCGTACGGGCCAGTCTTGCCAGACTCTGGGGTTGTGCGCCCATCTCACTCAAGAGGCCGGGGGCCAGCGCTGTCCGCAGACACTTCCGGGTCACGTGGCCAGCGTGACATCGCTGCTCTGGCGAGCCAGAGCCGCACACGGAAACGCCGTTTACCTTCCCGCTAGTAAGCGGTCCCTATTTATCTACTTGCACCCGGAGGTGCTTTCGAACTGCTAGGTTGGCAGGCGCTGGGACCGAGCAACGGGAGCGCACCCCACCGCGGGGATTCGAACCGCCGACCTTTCGATCGGCAAGCCCTAGGTGCTGAGGCTTTTACCCACAGCGCCACCCGTGTCCCTCTCTTCCACTTACCTGGAAGTAAAACCCCACTGAACTCACCAGGGTGTGCTTTTGTCTAGGCAAGCCGTCTTTGCCAACCTGGTGCCCTCCAGGTGTTTTGAGCAACAACTCTCATGGTTTTGAGCAACAACTCTCAGCCCCAGCCCACTGAGTTGCCGTCAAAAACTCCTGGAGGGCGCCAAGTTGGCCCTATACCAACATATAGGATTACCCCTTTAAGAAAGTATAAGGCATTTGTACCTCTTTTTTCCTCCTTCCAAGTTTCTGTGGTTTCTCGTTCTTTAGTCATGGAGGTGAAGATACAGAGAGGGAGGGTGGTTTGATACATTTTCAAGTCAGGTCATTAATAATAACAATATAAATAATATTTTAATAAAACCCAGAGATAAAATTTAAAAGGGATGTATGGTTGTTGACGATGATGAAGATGAAGATAATAATAATAATTTATTTATATGCTGCCCATCTGACTGGGTTCCCCCAGTCACTCTGGGCGACTTTCAACAAATTAAAATACAACATCAAACATAAAAAACTTCCCTTAACAGGGCTGCCATCAAATGTGTTCTAAAAGTCAAATGATTGTTTATCTGTTTGAAATTTGGTGGGAGGGCATTCCACAGGGCAGGAGCCACTACCAAGGAGGCCCTCTGCCTGGTTCCCTGTAACCTCACTTCTCTCAGTGACGGAACTGCCAGAACGGAACCTCAGAATCTTAGTGTCTGGGCTGAATGACAAGGGTGGAGCCTCTCCACCTCCAGATTGCATGGACCTCAAGGAGATTAAGCCTCCCTGGCCGTGATCTTGAAGGGCTTGGGGCCCTAAGGGTGTGTGCAATGGGGTTCCTGGATGCTCAATTGCTTAGGGAGAGCTGGGAAGATAGAGGGTCCTCCACCCCATATTGCATTACCCCTGGCTCTGAGGATGCCTAATCAATGTGTCAAGATTCCACCCCCCCATCCCAACAACAACACTCAGCTGTCAAGGAGTTTTAATCTGTGTTTAGCCACATAATCATAGAATCAAACCCACTGAAATGCAGTCTATTGTTGTTTTAACTTTGTGAAACTTTTAAACTGTTAGTTTTTCTTACTGATAATGACATTGTTTTATCGTTTTTGTAAACCGCTTTCAGGTTTGCTTTTTCAATTAAGCGGCATATAAAGTTTATGAAATAAAGCAGAAAACAAAACATGGATTTTAACATCCCGTTTTCCCCGATGAGAAATTAGTGTTGGGGCGCGGGGGATTGGCGTGTGTGACGACTTATATTGCGTTTGACTCTCTCTCTCTCTCTCTCTCTCTCTCTCTCTCTCTCTCTCTCTCTCTCCTGCACCCCGCTCCACAGAGGCCCACGACGCGCTGCACCACTTCTCCTGCAAAATGCTGACTCCCCGCCACTGCACCGGGAACTGTTCCTTCAAGCCTCCTTTGCTGCCCCAGTGAGCGACCCTCCCCACATCCAGCGCCCTCCCTCCCCGCAAAAGTCTGGGGCCGAAGCCGTCGCTGCTAGAGAAGCGTGGAAGCGGGATGGGTGGGGAGGGAAGGGGCGTGCGTGCCACACAAACTCACACTCAAGAAATCCTGGACGGGGAGGACGCCCGCGAGACACTAAGCCATGCCTGAATCGAAAGAAGCAGAGCTGTGTAAATAAGACAGGCGAGGGAATCCGGAGTGACCTGCGCTCCATTCCCCGCCCCCGCCGTGTAAATAGAGGCTGCGTCGGATTGTTCCGCCGATGGCATCGGGACCACAGGCAGACTGAAAAGACCTCGAAGAGGGTGGAGGGTAAGGAAGGCGGGAGAGGGGGCGGAGGCGAGCTCCTTTGACTTGGGGGGGGGAGTGTGAGACTGGGAGTCACACCAGCGCCCCGCTCCGCCCAGCCCAGTTCCTTGGCCGGCCTCCGCCTCTGTCTCTCTCTCTATCTCTCCATCCTCTTCCACTTTTTGGGTCCACGCCTCTCCACCCTGGCACAGACTTGGTCTGGGGAGGGGGGGCTTCCAAGTGGCGATGTGCAATGGATAGAAGAAGCGTACTGTGATTTCCCCGACTCCCCCCGTCCAGTATTCGTTACGATTCTTTCTTTCTTTATTTGCTGGTTTATTTATTCTGTATATTTATTTATGTTCCCAGCCCCCTCGACCATCATCTCTTGTAAACTGTTGATGTATAACAGCACTTTAAAGACAGAGGCCGGCGATCGGGACATACGTCTGGCGCCCCCGCCCCCCAAAAAATAATCGCCAGCGTCGGCCGCTCCCAGAACAGACTCTCCCCCCCCGCCCCCCCTAGTTGTTCCCGGAGAAAATTTGTCAGGTGTTCGTTTTTGGGTTTTGTCCCCCCCCCCGTTTTTGTTTGGTTCTTGTTTAATAAAATTCGACTTTTGAACAAAGCAGCGAACTTCGAAAAGCCACAGGTGATCGGTGATGGATTTATTATTGGGGGCGGGCGGAGAGACCTGATCGAAGTTCTGAGCGTCTGAAATGGTCTCTCTCTCTCTCTCTCTCTCTCTCTCTCTCTCTCTCTCTGCAAAATATGGGCAACAGTTTTTCATCATCAGTTAAGTCTTCCTTGCAGCGGTGGAGCTGTGAGGTCATTTTAGATGCTGGACTCATAGGAGTCAGTTCCTAGGGACCTAGGGGTTTTCGGGCCCCCAATGAAATATTTTGGGGGGGCCAGGTTCCTCCCCCCCCAAGTTGATGGGCCTTGCCATTCAAATACTGTGTGTGCACTGCATCATGTGATCGATTATGTGGGGTGGGGCTTACCTGCCCTCCCCCAATATTTTATTCAAGTTGGCACCCCTGGCTGGACTTGGTGAATTTACGCGGGACCCCTCTTTTGAGGAGTGAGGGTTCCCCATCACTTCCTTGTGGCATTTCGGGGGCCTCCAGCTCATGTAGCCGGGAGACTCCTCCAAAGTCTTGCCTTGACAGCACCCCTGCTTGAAGCCTGACGTTTCAAGCCGAATACTGAGCCAGACCAATGGTCCATCAAGCTCAGTAGAGTCCACACTGACAGGCAGCAGCTCTCTCTAGAGTTTCAGACAGGAGTCTCTCCCAGTCCTCCCTGGAAATCTTGCCAGGGACTGAATCTGGGGCCTAATCCTGCCCTGAGCTGAGGTCCTTCCTTAAGCTGTGATCCCTGCATTGCAGGAGGTTGGACTTGATGATGAGTCCTTTCCAAGTCTACAATTCTATGATTCCTGTAAAGATCAAATAGGATTTCAGCCCTCCTATCAAGGGCAGGTTTAAACAGGAATAGAGGAGTCTTCTTTAGACTGAGTTAGCACACATCCAGCTCAATAGATGTGGGTTAAACCACAGAGCCTAGGGCTTGCTGATCAGAAGGTTGGCGGTTCGAATCCCCGCGACGGGGTGTGCTCCCATTGCTCAGTCCCTGCTCCTGCCAACCTAGCAGTTTGAAAGCACGAAGTGCAAGTAGATAAATAGGTACCGCTCTGGCGGGAAGGTAAACGGCATTTCTGTGCGCTGCTCTGGTTCGCCAGAAGCGGCTTAGTCATGCTGGCCACATAGCTGTACGCCGGCTCCCTCAGCCAATAAAGCGAGATGAGCCCCGCAACCCCAGAGTCGGCCACGACTGGACCTAATGGTCAGGGGTCCCTTTACCTTTATAGCTCAATATTGCCCACATTGGCTGACAAAGGCTTTCCAGGTTTTCAGGCCGCAGACTTTTGCAGCTTTACCTGGAGATACAGAAGATTGGGCCTGCGACGTTCTGCATGCAGAACAGGTGCTCTACCACTGAGCTATGGCCCTTAGGTGCTGGCTGGTTTGCAGGAATCTCCAGTTTGACCAGCTAGTAAGCCAAGTCCGCAGCTCTGTCTGAGCTGCGTCTGGGCGAGCAGCTGCCGGGGGGAGGTCATGGGAAACGCCTGCAGCTCAGTGCTGAGCGTCTGCCTTGCCCCAGGTTCAAACGACCTCATCTCCGGGTAAAGCTTGGAGTGTTACTTGTCTGAAAATCCTTGACAGCAGCTGCCAGTCCGTGTAGACAATGCTGAGCTAGATGGACCAGTGAACTGTGTTGCATTCTCCTGGGCCAAACCGGATAAGCTGCCGCAGACGATCCTAAACCACTTTATTTCTTTCCTTCCACCTTTGCTTGTTCGCAGCTCCTGGGGAACAAATATAAGAGATCTCCTGCCTGGAGCCCTGTGCTCATATCTGCCTCCTTGCAATCTCCTCCTTTTCTGCAGCATCGGATTGCTGCCCCTCCCCAAACCTCCCTGTTAGACACGAATTAAAAGAAACATGAGAACAGCCGCCTTTCTTGCTTAGAGCAATTCCTCAAGCGCTCGCGATTCTTCCTTTGGCCAGCAGAGGGCGCCAGAATCGGATCCCCTTGGTGAGATTAATACTAGTAGTCGTAGTCGTAGTAATAATAATAATAATAATAATAATAATAATAATAATAATAATAATACCCTCGTGTGTTTCCCTAGCCACTCTGGCCAGCTTCCAGCAAAATATAAAAAATAATAAAATATCAAACATTTAAAAACTTCCCTATTCAGGCCTGCCTTCAGGTGTAAGTTGCATAGTTCTTTATCTCCTTGACATCTGATGGGAGGGCAAACGTGAAAAGACTCCATTGCGGATTGAACCAGGGATGTTCAGATAGAAGGCAATTGCTCCCCCACTGAGCCACAGCTTCTCTTTTGCTCCCGCTACTTACTTCCTAGTCTTCCTCTCACAGCTTAATTTGAACCAAGCCACAGCATATTTTAAGCCCTGGGCCCCTTGGCGAAAGCTGGGCTTGCTGCAGGGATGTGTGATGGAAAGAGCCTTTGAGCATGTGCAGAGTTCATTTTTCTAATTTCTGAACAGCCATGGCCTGACACTCTCTCTCTTCAGTGCAAAACCTCTAAAATTAGAAAAAAGGCAGAATACTGAAGTGGGGAGAAAACCCCCAAAAGTTGTCCTTGGAGAGATCAAACATAGGAAGAGTTGGGTGGGTAATGGCCATCTAGGGACCACCCATAATTCTAGCCCTGGGAATAAATCTGTGCTGGAAATAAATCTGTCCAATAAGTTAGATAGAGGCTTCTGTGGTGGTTCAACAGATGCTTAATAACATCATTAGTTTTGATACTGTCACCAGAAAATAGGGTGGGTGGGTGTGCCTTTTAATGGCCTAACTCCCTGTCTAAAGGACTCAGCGTCCCCCAAGTTTGTTATCGGTCAGAGATGAATGAGCTGAGGCAGGGTCCAGAGAAAGGAAGGCTGATTTTTATTTTTTGTTGCAACAGAGTCCGCCCTGCCCTTGCAAGGAGGTGAGGGACCAAGAACAAAGTGTGGCATCTCCTTTTAAAGGTTAGAAATGTTGGTGTGGAGATGAAGGGCATCCTCTTTAAAACTCAGTGTCACAAGGGCAAAATGTCAGAAATACACGTAAGGTGGGGTTCCAATGGCTCAGGCAGGTCAAGGTGAGACATTCCTGAGGGTTAACAAGTTTTACATAGTTTCAGACAGAGTTTACACAAAACATTAACATTGGAAATAGGATTTCCTGAGGTTCCTTTGATATGACAACCAGGGTACCCAGCAGGACCTGGAGATCCTTTCAGGTGACACAGCTGGGCAAACAGTACAATATTTCAAGACAATTGACACATATAAACTAAAAGGTGGGGAGGAAAATACCTCAGGTACTTCCTGCGTGGTGTAGTGGTTAAGAGTGGTGGACTCGTAATCTGGTGAACCGGGTTCGCGTCTCTGCTCCTCCACATGCAGCTGCTGGGTGACCTTGGGCTAGTCACACTTCTCTGAAGTCTCAGCCTCACTCACCTCACAGAGTGTTTGTTGTGGGGGAGGAAGGGAAAGGAGATTGTTAACCACTTTGAGACTCCTTAAGGGGAGTGAAAGGCAGGATATCAAGTCCAAATTCCTCCTCCTCCTCTTCCTCTGGCCTTACAAGATCAGGCAAGGGGAATTATGGAGGGTGTAGGGTCTCCGACAATGCAAAGAGGCATACATGACCAACAAGATCCAAAAGCAAGAATTACACATTTATAAACAATTTTACACATTGTTCCATAGAGAAATTCAAGTTCCCCTTGTTTTAACAAGCTAGATGTATCTGACTTAAACGGTGAAGAAAGGTGAGACCACGTGTCGTGTGGTGCTTTGGGGTGACATAAGGGTGCACTTATTTTATGTGTATCCTGGGGACATGTGGTGAGGCACATGGAGGAACACAACAGAGGTATAGAGAAAATAATAGTGGGGTATGCAGTGGGCATTTTTCTGGTAACACATGCAGCAGGCAGGCTGCAAGAACGGCAGACAGGCTGCAACTGGTTTGGTGGGTCACAAGGGGTTAATCACCTCTGGCTTCTATCCCTGTGCTGCAGGCCATTGCACAACCAATCCTTGATAGGTGCTGGTCCAGCCTTGTTTGGACGCCTTCAAGGCAGGAAAGAGATTTCACAGGTTCTATAGTTGGCTTTTTTTATATACAGTGGTACCTCGGGTTACAGACGCTTCAGGTTACATACACTTCAGGTTACAGACTCCGCTAACCCAGAAATAGTATCTCGGGTTAAGAACTTTGCTTCAGGATGAGAACAGAAATCGTGCTCCAGCGGCACGGCGGCAGCAGGAGGCTCCATTAGCTAAAGTGGTGCTTCAGGTTAAGAACAGTTTCAGGTTCAGAACGGACCTCCAGAATCAATTAAGTACTTAACCCGAGGTATCACTGTACATGCAGTTCTGGTCAGGAAAGCCTTCCCGGCCTTTGACCTAAGGACTGAGTGTTTAAAATAATTGCTTCTTGTTGTGTAGCCAGTGCTCAT